GTTTGATCAAACCTGTGCCCGTATAATCCCACTTTTATCAGGAGTATCATCCGCAACAGCAACAAGCATACGTTCATTGGCAGCATCCACACTAATTACACGTACACGAATTGTTAGGCCAATCCTTAAAATGCGATGATTTCAGACAGCAAAAATTTTCTACTTTTTGGAAAGCTAGGAAAGCGAAGCTCAACTACAGGAAACAAAAAGTAGAAAAAAACTTAACTGCAGCAAGTCGGAAACGAGTAAAATTTTGGCGGTCGACGAAGCCTAAAAGCTTCTTGTGGATTCAATGACAAAAAAGATACTTGATGTTGCTTCCCAAACGTTGTGCTTCTTTGGCAAGCATAAATCCACGCGTTCCACCAAAAAAGCCAATAATCAGGCCACCATTTGGATGCATATAAACGACATATCCAGTGGTTGTCATGTCCGGACTGACCTCTTCATAGTTCTGGATGATTGGGCCCTTGATTTTGAGCAATGATTTTTTGTTTGTTAAAATCAGTCGTGATTTCATCTGATCCACAATCAACACGCGACATGTCAGACTTTCACCTGAATAAGCAAAATCTAAATTTGTCCTGAAAATCCTTCTGGCATAGGCGGATACAAGGTGGTCTCCTGGGGCAAGGACGAGGGCAGGAAGAGGGGGTGGACGATTTTTCTTCCCCACCCTCCTCGTCACTGCACCTCCTCCCCTCCCAGGTCACCTTGCTACCCACCGCTCGATTGTCCTGCTACTCCTCAACCCTCCCCCCTCCCCTAGATCAGCCAGTGCCTCCTGGTCGGTAAAATACCTTATTCACATCCCAGAAGCAACAGTGTTCGAGAAGAGGTGGTGATGCTCAACATACACAACAAGGAGATCTCAGAGTCACAAAATTTTAGCAAAATGCTTTTGTGGAAAAAACCGTTGAGTTGGTGATCCTTTTAGAAGCACAGGTCATGATTCCTTTAGAAGAAGCACAGGTCAAGGCCAGCAAAATGGCCATCAGGCAACTGGTCAAAGTTATGAAAATGAAGAATAGCGACAATGGTAGTGATAATTATAATAATTTATCCAAAAAAAAAAATAATAAACAAATGAAAGGGAGAAAAAAACCAACCAACAGTGAAATGTTTTTGAATTCGTGTTATTAAATTATCAGAAAGATGCATTTTTGGAATCAGTCCAGGAATAGTATCATAAATTCGAACGAATAATCCAGTCTTTAGTATTGTTTCGATCTTTGCAGTTACTTTTTCACCAACAACAGCATCCTAAAAAAAATTCAAAACTCAACTTTACTAGAAAATGTTGCCCAAAACTAACCATATTTTAAAGTTTAGCAATGGAGCCATCAAAAGCAATGCCAGCAGGAGTTCGATACTTCGGAATTCTTATGAGTGCCTTCATCTTTCATGCATAGTAAATGCCGAAACAATTTTGACTTAGCAACCGCACTGAATTCGCAAAATCCTAAAACACTCTCCACTCCCTCTCCTCCCACCCTTTTCCGCCTCTCCCCTCTTCCTCTTCACTTTTTTCCGTTCAAAAGAATCCTTAAAATAAGTCAAAAAGCGTTTACAATGTAACAGTCCAGTTCACCACAAAAAAAACCCAATTTCTCCACAATTTTCGATTCGTTTCGGTCGCAGACTGATATTGGCTCACGTCAGGAAGTCACCTCCGCCCC